ATACTTTCTTTTTGTAACTTTTCAACATTCACTTCTGATTAATTTGTGGTTGTTCATTCCATTTACATCGTATATATTGTTTTCTAGCTTCTGCTTAATGCACCCTACATTAGATGACATAAATCTTTTCATACTTCTCTGTGCTTATCACATTCATCATGTCTGATAGCACATTAATATTACGTATGTATATGTATCATAATTTGCTTAACAATAAAAATTTTCTATCAAGAAAAAGAACTGTTATAAATATTCAACTGTATATGGGAATATTCTTATCATCAATGATCTCTTCATGGTATATTTCTAGTAGTGGTATCTCTGTGACAAAAGAGGACAATTTTGTCACTTTATTTACATTGTTAAAAATTACTTTACAAAATAGTTGTACATATTCATAGCTTCACCAATGATGAACTAATGTGGTTATTTCCCCCTAACTAACTCAGTTTTAATTATTACCATCTTTTGCCATCTTCATGAATTTGTAGGATGTGAAGTGAAACCTTGGAGTTGTTTTGATTTATATTTTTTTCTTATTAGTGGTTGCTAGTAGTTGGCCATTTTCCTTTCTATGTTCACTTTGACTTCTGGACAAATCTAGGTACTATTTATTTATAATATCTGGAAATATCACAACCAGGATATTTAAATGTTTATTGTTTTAAAGGGTATATTTTTTAATTATTTCTTCCTTCTTATTTTCTAGGTCATTTGATTAAAATAACAGATACTTTACATTTCGTTCCTTTTGTAAACTTTAGATTTTGTCTAACATTTCTTCTTGTTTTTGGAGTCATTGAGTTATATTTTCTCCTTTCTAATTTTCATGATGTCTGTTACTTGAATAAATTATCCCACAAAGCATTATGGTATAAGAACCAAGCCCTGGAGTCAGGAAGACTTTCTTTAACTTACTAAGCTTTGTGACCTTAGGCAAGTTATTTAATCACTTAGTTTTCTCGTATATGAAATGGGTAGCTTGAACTTTATGACCTCTAGGATCCATTCCTCCTCTAAATCTATGATGCTATTCACTCTTTCAAATTATTTCCTCCAGAATGTTTTTATATAATTCCATACTGTGCAGAAACCTTGTGTGCTATAATGTTTCTTCTGCAAGGAACAAGAGTTATCCATGAGACAATCTTAAAAGTGGTACTGCCCTAGAAGTTCACATTTTCAATTTAAAACCTAGATTCCAGGAACATGTCATCTAGAGAATTCAGATCCTTCCTCGTCTGAATAGATGTTTGGTGTTTAAGAAGTCATGACACTGAGTTTTCTTCTCAGGCTATGTGAAAACACATCTCTTATAGCTGTTTGCTTCTGCCCTAAGTCACCACTGTCAGTGGAAGTTGGAGGGTAGAAGGTGAAAGAAAGCCCCTCTTCCCCTTGATGATTAAGAACTGCAATTCTCAATATGACAGTGAGTCCTTAAGAGCTCAGAACTGAATTCAAAGAGTTTACTGACTCAGAGTGGTGCCAGCCTTTTTAAAAAACCTTGTAGAGCCATGGCTAATTCTGTAAACCAATCAGTAGACTTCTTCTACATCCCACCACATGCCTTCATTAAATAACTAAGTCCTCATAAAGTTATCGGCTTTATTACTTTACACTTTATTATCAGTATATGAAGACCCTTGACAGAATATTTTTTGTATATTATTAAATTGTTTAGGAATACTCCCTAATTTGATCAGAAAATTCCCTGCTTTCCCTGGGTGAAGATACTAATATTTTATAGAATCAGGTTGGATAGGCCTCTTGTAGAAGGTGATACTTAAACTGAATTTTAAAGGAAATTAAAGATTCTATAAGGTAGAAATGATTAGTGAGTGCATACCAGGCAACAGGGATAAAGTATACAGACACTTAGACTGGAGCTAGAAATTTAATGCATGAGAGTGACACAAACATAGGTCATATGTATAATTAGTTGGTATGATTGTTGCTGCATTAGCAATATGATCTTATAATGACTCATCTCTAGCCTTAGGTAGGCATTTAGAAAGTCAAGGCATCATGTTTATAGCAACCAGTAAAGGAGTATATTTTATAATTTTTCCAAGTAGGTGGTATTTTATTTCAGCCATCAAAAAAGTGGTCCTGTCAAAGCCCCTGAGATGTATATGCAAAAGACTATGTCTACATACATGTACAGAGAAAACCTTTCAAGAAATTGGTTTCAAAAGGCTAAGCAGGAAAGAAACTTTCATTGACCTGAGTTCTAAAGGAATACAAGGCATGATATAAAATCATTGCTCAGGATCAATTAATCAATCAACAAAGCAATTATTAAGTCAGTGTTATATAGCTGATATTGTGGGAGGTAAAGCCAGTGATATTAGACTGGATCTCAGGGGACAGACTAGGGTTGACACCAAAGAAATGGTCATCTTTTGTCTAGGGATGTTACTCAAGCCCATGGAATTTGATAAGATCATATAGATAAGCCAAGGACAGAATTTGGGACTACAACAACAGGTAAGTGAGTGAGATATGGATTTTATCCAGCAAAGGAGACTGAGAAGGAGGGACCATATGGGAAAGAGCACCACCAAGAGAGAATGGTGTCATCAAACCCTGATTGGAGAAAGTAATCAATAGTGTCAAATGCTATAGATTTCTCAAGATGGATAGAATAATTTATAACTGTAGAAGTCCCATCCCTACTATTTGGGAAATTTTCTAGCTCAATACTCATCCTTTAGGTTGATAATATACTTGTCTTGCCACATGGTTTATTCATTAAAAATTAATAAAATTGCAAATTAGCTGCTAGTGAATTCCCTCTTGCCTAGCACTTTACTAAGCATTTTTTTCAAATCTTACTCCATTCCAATAGGTCACATTAAGTGAGTCACAGTTTTACTTCACTTTTTTTATACTCTGCTTTTAGTTCAGGTCCTGTTGTACATTAAATATTTAAATGCTTGTTGACTGACTGAAAGGGGGGGAAAGGGAATACTCCAGAACTGAACACTGGGCCTGACATGAAAAGGAAAAAGCAATGAAATGAAGTAAAGTTTAGGAGACTGGATAGATTTATTAGCCTTCTAACCAACCACTGAGGGTTTTTGGAATGGGCCAGGCTTGGCTTTCTATAAGCTCATCTCTGAATGACTGCTCTAGTTTATTATTGGATCCAGCTCTTTTGGGTCAGTTCCTAGTATGATCTTGGTCAGGCACTGGGCTAGGCATTGGAGATTCAAAGGAAAAAAAATAATTAAACAATTTCTGTCCTTAAGGAGTTTATGTTCTATTGGTGGAGGCAAACAAGTCATTTTTAAGAATATACAAAATAGGTGCAAGGTAATTGGGGTGGGGAGTGCACTAGCAGCTGAGAGGATCAAGAAAAGTCTCTCCTGAAATGTTGGACATTATCTAAATTTTGGAGAAAGCTACAGATTCCTGATTTCAAGTCTTGCATATGACACCTCCTGTGTGACCCTGTGCAAATCACTTAAATTCTCAGAGACCTAAATTTCAGAAAAATTGCTAGTCTGAGTTAGTTGAAGAGATTCTCTACTTGGTGCTCCCACCACTGCTGAAATCATAGGTTCAGATCCCCTCACCACTCCAAAAAAGTAATGGAATACACCAAATCATTTACACCATTGCCTTTGTCTTCCCTTGAGTTACTAGGGCTATTAAAACAATGTTTATTTGCCTTCATGTTGAAGCCTGGAGAAAAGAAATCTTTAAAGAATCTAATTTCCTTTTTAAAGGTTTTTCACATGGACAAAGAAATAGTTCTGTTTGGCCCAGAAAGCAAAACTGGGACCAGGAAATGGCAGCCACAGTGACAGTTATTAAGGAAGCAAATGCTAATAATTAGAAATGTCCAGGAATGAAATTAGCTTACCTGGGCATTCATGTACAGGACAAGAAACTTCTTGCCAGGGCTATGGTAAGGGAACTTTCTGCATCAGGCAGAAGTTTAAACATATGGCCCCTTTCCAGTCTCTGAGGTTCTGTGATTCTATAGTTTAATTATCATCCATTAGATTCACTGTCATATGCATAGAGATGCGAAGGGCATCTACATTTTGGTAGGACAATTGCATGAGTTGCGGATAACACTAAGCATCTGGACACTTAACCCATAGTCTTGGGATTCCCTCATACTTTCCAGAGGGTTGTGGAGAACACCAGCATGTGCTGAGTTCAAGGTACATCCTGCTTATATCACTACTCCCAAGTGAAGTTGTAGAAACTTCCTTTGCACTGGAAGCTCCACCTATACACTTCTTAACCTCGGGATCATAATTCTATGGCCTGGCATAATGGAAATATATCCAGCCCATGAGAAACAGTTTGTAAAACACTGAAAGAGCACTTTTTTTTTAACTTGGAGCTTCTTACACTTTGCTACATTCTATTTAATCAAGTCATCTTTGCAACAATCCAATGAAGTAGTTAGTTTGCTATTGTTATTTTAAGTGTAAAGAAACCAGAGAGACATTTCAAACACGAAAGGTCAATTGGCAAGGGTTACCTAGCGGTCATCTCATTACTCCTTCTGACCCCAAGCTGGACATGCTCATGGATCATGTATCACTTTGCTTGGAGTGGCAAGAGTGCCAGCAAAGCTTCCAGATAAACTCTGGAAGGATGAGAATAAAAAAAGGGGATTTCGGCATATATCTTTGAGATGGATAAAAATGTTGATTTTAGTTCTCTACATTTCTATTCCTCTTCCCAAACCTCCCACAAGTGACTTAAGTATACATTCTTTCAGAATATATCTAAAGAAATGTACACGAAGAGCAGAAGAAGGTGATGACCCACAGACATTGATAAATCCTAGTGTTTTCTCAGTGATGGTCAGCTATCTCAGAACCAGTGAAAGGAGGCAAGAAGAACCTGCTAGAGTTCTGGGCCATTGTAATTTCCTTTACAGATTTATTAATCCATTCTTTCTTGAGCTTTCTTTTATATTATTATTTCTGGAGATAGAATTAAAGTTTGGACTTGGAGATCATCCCTAAACCTGATTAGCCCTTGTCAGTCCCATAACCCTTCCCTAGCACTTTCTTCACAGCCTCTTTCACATCCTTGTTCCTCAGTGTATATATGAGTGGATTGACACTGGGTGTGACAATGGTATAGAAAAGGGTAAGGAATTTGCCTTGTTCCTGGGAGTAAGTGTTAGCTGGCTGGAGGTACATGTAGATAATAGTCCCATAGAAGAGTGATACCACAATAAGATGGGAGCTGCAGGTGTTAAAAGCCTTTCTCCGCCCAGCAGCTGACTTGATCCTCAGCACTGCGCGAGCAATATTTCCATAGGAGATGAGGATAAGGATAAGGGGAGCTAGGATAATAAAAATAGCCAATGCAAATGCCAAAGCCTCAAGGTCCATAGTGTCCACACAGGCCATGCCAATCAGTGCTGGCATTTCACAGAGAAAGTGGTCTACCCGCCGATGCCCACAACGGGGGAGCATAAGAGTCTGAGGCACCATGATAAGTGCATTGCCAAAGCCACTCAACCACGCGACTGAGGCCAGTTGTCCACAAAGTCTTGGGTGCATAATGACTGTGTAGTGCAATGGTTTACATACAGCAGCATAGCGATCAAAGGACATAACAGCCAAAAGGACACACTCTACCCCACCCAGTGCCAGAACAAAGTAGAGTTGAATGGCACAACCTAGGTAGGTGATGCTTTTATCTGGACCCCAGAGATTGTAGAGCATCTGTGGAATGGAGCCTGTTGTGAAGCACATGTCAAGGAAGGAGAGGTTGGCTAAAAAGAAGTACATTGGGGTATGGAGTCGTGAATCAAGGCAGAGAAGAAGATGATAGTCATGTTCCCCAGGATGGTCAAGAGGTAGAAGAATAGTACAATCACAAAAAGAATCATTTCCAGATGGGGTCGGTCTGAGAAGCCCACCAGGATAAATCCTTCTAAGAAGCTGTTGTTCTTTCTTTCCATAGCCTGGGATAAAACATCACCTGTTAGGGAAGACAAGTATCTCTGAAGGTCATGAAAAAGAATTAAGGTAGGTCCATCCTTAGAAGGCTCAGGGCATTTATTCAGTAGCTCCAGGAGGAATAGATTAAATCAGTCTGAAGTGCTAGAATATAAGTATTTGATGATCAATTATAACTCACAATCCTAATTACCTTTCCAGGTCTACAGAGCACAATGCACTCTTCAAAGCTGCACACTCATCAATCCAACGAAGATTCTCAATGGCCCACTGTTACTGATGAAAAGTGTCAAATTATCCCACCCCCATGTACATGGTTAAGCTTTCCACAAATATGTGTTATCCAGGATCTGTGAGTCAGAGAAGTAAGCTCCATTATACAATTCTTCTGTTCTGGACATGTGCATTAAAACATTAAGTACTGTGTCTCTGATTCTCTTGGCTTCCACCAAATGAATAGTGTAGTGGCTTTGCTCATATTAGATAACTTTGGTCATCAGGATATTTCCTGGTATGGGATAGGATAGCATCCCAGTTAACTTCTGGGAAACTCACTTAACCTCTTTGTGCTTAAAAATTAAGTTCATGCAGCTAGTGTATGTCAGATATGGAACTTGAATCAGATATTCTTGGCCTTAAGGCTGTCTCTCGAGCCATTATACCAAGGGGCAACTCAATTAATTTCTCACTGCTCCGGGTTACTCTCTACATGTTTCAGGGAAGGTACTGACTTGAGTTGAATGAGGTAATTTCCTTAATAAGGAATTCCTTACACCAGAAAAAAAAATAATAAATCTATTCGCAGCCCTGTTCCTAGTAAGAGTAAACTGATACCTATTTGAATGTCCAGATTTACAGACCATCTTCAACCATCTTCATCATTTTCTAATCTAAAGACTGGAACTCTAGCCATGGTCCAGTAGCCATACATTTAGTACTTCATAGTTTACAAAGTATTTTCCTAAAACAAACAAAAACCTCAGGGAACAAACTCACAAAAGTACTATTATTTCTTCTTTATAAATGATAAATGGAGGACTAAAGAGTCCTCACAAAAGTGAATTGATACTTTGCCACAAAATCACAGAATCCCAGAGTTAGAAGAGATTGCAAAGGCCATCTCACACCTGAAGATGGATACTCTTTAAAATGTATCTGACAAATCCCACAAATGTTTTGGGCTTACTCTATCAACTTGCATGGTTATCCCTTCAACCCAGAGGGGTGTTATCAGTCATTGTTCTCTGAGAATATAACCTGCTGGTCCAGTGTGATTAGGAAGAGTGGTTCCAGAGAGGTCAACTATATACAAAAATCATAGAACTAGAAGAGACCTAAAAGATTTAATTTAATCCTCTCATTCTATAGATGATACATTGAGAGACAGGAAAATTAAAGTGATCACCCAAAGTCATGAACTTATTAATAATTTGAGGCAAGATTTTGATTCTTGGTCTTTTGACTCCTTAGTTAGTGCTCTTTTGCATATGTTGTGGTGACTCCACCCAGAAGCAACCCAGCATTTGCTCATAGAAATCTAATAACATAGGACACATGACCTTCCAAGAAGCCCATTCTACTTTGGTATAGTTCTAAGTACTAAGAAATAGTCCTTTATATCAAGTCTAAATTTGCTTGATTGTGATTTCCATTCATTGTTTCTAGTTCTATTCTTTGGAGCCAAACAGATCAAATACAATCCCTCTTCTATGTGATGGCTTTTCAAATATTTGAGGATAGTGACCACATCCCCATAAATCTATTCTTCGTCAAACTAAACATCCCTAATTCCTGCAACAAATTTTTGTGTGGTGCACATTTGAAAACCTTCACCATTCCAACTGCTCTCCACTAGACCATTTTGCCCACAACAATCCCAAAATGTTGTTTTCAGATCTGAACATACCATATAATCAGACTGATCAGATGATAATATGATGGTATTATTGCCTACCTTGCCCTGGACCCTATGATACTCTTAGTGTTCTTTTGTACCAGCTATCTCCGTTCCTCAAATATTCTCCCTCCTAATCTTTGCCTTCTGAAGGAGGTATTTTCTGGTCTGCTAAGAAGCTAATTATTTCCCCTCTTAGGCTTCCTTCCTTCTATTCAGTATTCATTGTATATATACCAATTTGTATGTATATTGTCACCTCCATTAAAATGTATGCTTGTTTGAATATGAGGAGTATTTTTACTTCTTTTTTGCATTCTCTAAACTTAGCTCATTACCTGGCACATAGTAAGTCCTTAATAAATAAATGAATAAATAATGCATTTTGATTGATGGAGCTAAAAAATGCATTAGGTTTTTCTATCCATCTCACTGTTGACTAAAATACAGTAGTTCACAAAAAACTGATAGAGCTTTTCTTCAAACTACTGTCTAATCATATCTCCCCTCCTTATACTGATGAAATTGAGTTTTCAGAAGCCAAGTGTAAGACTTTACATTTATCATTGTTAAATTTTGTCTTATTATATTTGGCTTTCAGGTTCTAGCTCTTCTAGATCTTTTAAAAAAATCTTGATTCTGTCATCCAGTGTATTGGCTATGCCTTCTAGTTTTGTATCATCTGCAAATTTTCCATGCATATCAACCATGTTTTCATCTAGGTGATTGATAAAAATGATAAATAGCAAAGGTCTGTTGCTTACTCCCTGTGAAACATTGGAGGCATAATTTAATCTCCCCCGGGTTTCAATTTCCTCAACTGAAAAACAAGGGGGTTGAAACAGATGGCTTCCGATATTTCTTCAAGCCAAGTTGAGTGTAGACCTATTTCCAAAGTGACATAGAAGGATCAAGTCATTCAAACAAATATGGATTAGCTAATCCTGAAGTGTATCTTTTCTATAAGAATAGCCAATGAGACTTTATCAAAATCTTTGCTGACATCTACATAAACTAGAGATATAGAATTCTCCTGGTCTTAGCTAGTGAAAAATGCAAAATAATAATAATAGATAAATCTAACATGATCTAACTCTGATGAAGCCATGGTGGCTCTTTCTTATCACTTTTAAACCTCCTAGATTTTTTTTAAGCTATCACTTTAACCATCACATTATATATTTTTTCTTTTTTTCCCTAGGAATTCTAGGATTTCTAGGAATCAAAGTTAAACTTATTCTCCTATAATTTGCAGATTCCCTTCTCTTCTTCTTCTTCTTTTTTTTTTTTTTGAAAATCAGGATATTTGCCTTTCTGCTGTTTTTCTGCTCTTCTGGTAGCCAGGGTCTTTCAAAGATCACAGATGATTCAAGAATCACATCTAGTACTTAGCACAGTGCCTGACACACATAGGACATATTTAATAAGTGCTTGTTGTTGGAATGACATTAGGCAAGTTGTAAGGGCATTATAATTTATTTTTCTGTTTCTGGATACTTGCAGAAAAAATGTTGCATTTGGGCTCACAGAACATGGCTTAAAATACTAATTCTGCTAATTAATACTTATGTAACCTTGGGAAGTAATTTAAATTCTCTGTGATTCATTACCTCAGTCATAAATGATGATCATGACTAGTTCTTTACGATTCCTTTGAATCTTAAAACTATTATCCTATAGCCTTATGAATAAAAAAATAGCTTTTAGCTTTACAGTTACATAGTAATCACCTTAGCAAAAAATTAAATAGTAATAATGACAGTAATGGCATTTTAATAATATCTTGTAGCACTGAAGTAATTTTTTACTTTTTTTAAGGTCTAAAGACAAATTCCTCATCTGCAAATTGCCCCCTAAGGAGGCCTCTCTCTGTGTTTCTAGCCTAATCACTAATCATTTTTCACAAAATATTTGCATTTGGCCATCAGTTCATAATTCTGCTCTAACCTTTTTCCATTATCTATTAAAGTGAACAAAGAGCTAGAATGGAATTTGATACTCTATAAAGTTAAATAGCAGGGGAACAAGTCCCAAAAGGGAGACAGAAGTGGACATAAGGTTAATGAGGCATATGGGGACTTAAGTTTTATAGGAAATGGTTTTCTCCAAGACTTTCCATTATCCTGAGCATGAATTCTGAGGTTCAAATTTTATACACATAGCTTCTAAGCCCTTGTGATAGACTCCTCTTTCTTGAAATTCAAAATCTTATGACCCTGAGAAGTCAGCCTTTTCCTAAGCAGAACTCTCCAGTATATTATGATTCCTATCTCCCAACAACTCTAAGTAAAGAGTTCTAGAACCTCCTAAGTTAAAGACTTCTTTTAAGAAAGAAATTTTCTTGTGTCTCATTACAGATAGAAAACCCATAGATAGTCAAGGGGTGATGAGAGGCTAAAATGTTTCATTTTCTGATGATCTACTCTGTACTGAATAAATTCTAAACATTACACCTTATTTCCACTGTACTCTCAGAATATGAATTTCTTTACTTTTTGAACTGGACTAATATTCCTTCTATTTGGGTAAAGACAAGGGTGGATACAGCCTTTAGAAGCCCCATTTTAGGTTGAAAAGTGAAGACCCAGGTGATTTTACTATCCACAAAAGATATCAGTCTTTTTAGATTATGCTCTAACATACATTAATTTCTAATAACTGGCTTTAGAAGTATTGAAGACATATTTGAAAATCCTTATATTATGAATCCAACTCACCAAAACTGACCACAGGTTCACATATATGATATCAATAGTCCCAAGACTTTTTTCATTCTTGTGAAATCACTTGAGAGTCCTTAAGTTATGATCAAAGTAGAGACAGAATGAAGAGACAGATGGTCATGAGAAATGTGCTGAGAATGGAGAAGTTGAAGAGGAAGAGGAAGTTAGATGAATCAGGGCTCCTTCAGGCTCAAAAAAGTAAAGACAGTGAGATTGAGATGACATTGTTTATACCATCTAGAGACCATAAACATCAATTCCTCCCATCTCCAAGACCCAGGTAAGATGGGACCTTGGAGAATGGATGATAGGGGACACTGGCAGGCCCCTCTACCAGGAAAGAGAGCTCTCTAAGTGGAAAAAGTGCAAGCTGCTAGAAAGAACTTCTTATGGG